TCTTCCTCCAACCAGGTCAAGGTTTCAATGCAAGAGCCCCAAATAATCCTCTGGTTCGGTACCTCTTACCATCTTCCTCTCCCTTCCCTCGAATGATATCGTGGACTTCACCAATGCTTTTCTTGCTACTCACTACTTTACTTTAACCGATCCATCCGGCGCATCTTTGCCGAGGCAGTGCAACTTAGAGTCTAAACCCGAAAAGGCAGGTACTCGTACTTCTTCAGAACACGTAATGTCAGGGACGAAAACAGCTAACCCTTCCATAAAGCTGCAGATCATACAGGTAGGCTTGCCGATCAAACATTCTTCCATAGCTACTTTAGGTCGTATTCGCTGCCTTGGTACTTTAGACTCGTGATCTGCTGCGGCTCTTTGCAGCGGCTATAGAATACGGGATCAAGAGGCGTGAACTGCGTCTCCCGAGATCGACGCTGGCACGCTGCTTGTTTTATATTCCTAATTCCTAGATGAATTCGCGGTAATTGATCCTCGGGAGATGGACTGGAATTGATCTCTCTACGGTGCTGGCCCTGGAACTAGGGTGGTGCTAATTGCCACTCAACCACGGGAGCTATCGGCAAAAAGTCATCCCTAACTGGAATACAACGGCGAGCGTCGCATTGGTCTCGAACGAAGGTGCAAAAATATATGTTTCCTACCGTCTCGTTTAAATGACCACAGACTATAATAGTGATCACCTGCTCCTCGTTCATAATACCATACGATTCCACGGCATTCTACATTCTATATTTCGCCTGCGGAGTCTAGGTGATCATGAATTCTACCATGTGTAAAAGTATTGTTCTCAATATGCGATCGTTGGTGGCTCTGGGTCTACAAGTAAGGTATTCCTACCCGCGGGTCGGCCGAGGTCAAACGTCATCTCGAATCCACTTTCAAAACCGCATTCGCTCTCTTGATATCATAATCTTTCAGGACGGCATTTCCTCGCAATGGCGGCCAAATCGTTTACGCTGGGCTCTCGCATCAAGGTACGTCATTTTCGAGCGTGCATCTCCAGAAAGTAAACTGAAAGACAATGTCAGCTTGCCAATGGCCAGAGCATGCCACAGATACATCTTGGGGTTTACTTGACGTCTGGCAATGAAACGGTCAATGCTGTAAAATGGGCCCTCGAGGTACAATCACACTCGTACAGTCACTCGACGAAGGACTTTCTGCTGACGGCGCTTTCAGGCTGGTTATCGAGCGTAATGGTGGCAAATTCCGCGTCCAGAAATGCCATATGACTGACACTTCTTAGCATCGATTCTGCCCAAATGTACCATAACGAACGCGAAGTTGGATCATCTATCTTAGCATTCATATCCGGTCCTAGCAACACTTCATCTCTGAAACGAGAAGACATCCATTTCACATCGAAACTCGCATCCAACACTTCCTACGATGCGGCAAGAAAGTCCATCAGACAGTCTGTAAAGCAGAGTGGCCTTGGCTATATAGATCTGTTTTTGTTGCACAGCCCTTATGGTGGAAAGGCCAAGAGACTGGAATGCTGGAAGGCTGTCGAAGATGCCATTGAAGATGGAGAAGTGAAGACCGGAGGTGTCAGCAACTTTGGCGTCAAGCATGTAAGTCTTACCCTTCGTTCTTCTCTCCCCTCGATGACGATTACCGGCCCTGGTCATTCTCTTATGCACTCGTTCTAGTTGCAAGAGCTTCTCGCATCGAACCTTCGAATACATCCAGCCGTCAACCAGATCGAAGTTCACCCATTCAACACCCGGACCGAGATCACCTCTTTCTGCCACGAGCATAACATCGTGGTCGAAGCATACGCTCCTCTAGCTCGGGCTTTGAGGATGAAGCACCCAACCATCACGTCGCTGTCGAAGAAATACTCATGTACTCCCGCTCAGCTCATGGTCCGATGGAGCTTGCAGCATGGCTTTGTGCCCTTACCTAAGAGCGTCACGAAGTCGCGCATTATTACCAATGGCGATGTCGGCGGATTTGAAATAGAGGGGGCGGACATGAAGATTATGGATGGTCTAGATGAATATCTCGTGACAGACTGGGACCCTGTGGACTGTGATTAGGCGGTCCAGTCTTACCCTCTACTGAAGCTTCCGATGTCGCTTTGAAAACAAATAATAACAAAAAAAACAAAAAAAAATCACATACCATGATTATCGCCTGTGCACGTGCAATTGAGACTTCTCGTCCCCAGGATGATGCCGCCAAGGAAATTGAAGAGGGGGGCCAAGGTGGGGGTGGGAGGGGGAGGGGAAGCTTTGAGGCTGACCCTAGTGCCCGGAGGGAGTCAGGAGCCAATCAGAACTCTGTGACTTATCGCCAAACGTCAATCCATCGAGTCACACACAGTAAAGTAAAGGAGCAAGTTGCCCGTGAAGCTTACCCCCCAAAAGTACACTTACGGGCCCGGGGCATGGTGATGCTTCCCCTCGGACCATTCCCCTCTACGATTAATAGCCCAATCACCCAATCACCCAATGGCCCAATAATAGCCCCAGTGGCCCAGCCCAGGAAGCTGTGGCCGCAGATCGGAGATACAACATGTCAATACTCGGAGATTTTGCCTTTCCCATGGCCCTTTTCCGCTATTGAGCACGGGGGCCATCGACTTTTAAATGCTCATGACGTGACATTGGGCTTTCTTTTCCCTTTAATCCTCACATACTCAACCCGCCAACAACTGCCACAGTACCAATTCCGCTCATCCACCAACATAAAGCCTACAGCTTTGAATAACAACAAATAAAGCAATCATGTCGAACCTACCATCCGAACCAGAGTTCGAGCAGGCATACAAAGGTACCTTCAACCGGTTCTGCACGCTGCCTTCTTCATGCAACCTCCCGCTGACCTTGCCTCGCAATAACAGAGCTCGTTTCAACCCTCGAAAACTCCTCCCTCTTCAAGAAGAACCCTGAATACAAGACCGCCCTCAAGATCGCTGCCATCCCCGAACGGGTCATCCAATTCCGAGTGGTCTGGGAGGACGACAAGGGACAAGTGCAGGTCAATCGAGGATACCGTGTGCAATTCAACTCGGCCCTGGGTCCCTACAAGGGCGGTCTCCGCTTTCACCCTACGGTGAATCTGTCGATCCTCAAGTTCTTGGGCTTTGAGCAGATCTTTAAGAATGCTTTGACTGGTCGTAAGTATATCTACGCTTATTCAACGTCCGCTCACATCATCGACAAATGGCTGACCCTTTGATTTCGCAGTGAACATCGGCGGCGGCAAAGGAGGAGCAGACTTCGACCCCAAAGGCAAATCAGATAACGAGATCCGCAAATTCTGCGTTGCCTTCATGCGAGAGTTATCTAAGCATATCGGAGCCAATACCGATGTACCAGCGGGAGACATTGGTGTTTCGCCTCGTGAGATCGGATGGCTATTCGGTGCCTACAAGGCTGAGACAACGTTGTGGGAGGGCTGCTTGACTGGTAAAGGTCTAGCATTCGGTGGTAGCTTGATAAGGCCTGAGGCAACAGGTTACGGTCTTGTCTACGTATGACTTCCACCCCTAAGTCATAGGCCACCGCTAACGTCTCGCATAGTATGTCAATCACATGATCCAATATGCCTCCGGCGGCAAAGAGACCTTCAAAGGCAAACGCGTCGCCATCTCCGGTTCTGGAAACGTCGCCCAGTATGCTGCCCTGAAAGCCATCGAACTCGGCGCCACAATAGTCTCCCTCTCCGACAGCAAAGGCACCATCGTTGCCGAAAGCGAGAAAGGCATCAGCCCCGACGAAGTCGCCTACATTGCCGATTTGAAAGTAAAGAGAAAGCAATTGACGGAGATCGCCAATTCGGATAGTTACAAGGGCAAATTCAAATACATCGAGGGCGCAAGGCCATGGACGAACGTTGGCAAGATTGACGTGGCACTGCCTTGCGCGACGCAGAATGAGGTGTCGGGCGAGGAGGGACAGGCGTTGATTGACGCTGGTGCGAAGTTCGTCGCTGAGGGAAGCAATATGGGATGTTCGCAGGAGGCGATTGGGGTCTTTGAGAAGCACAGGAAAGAGAAGAAGGGGGAGGCCATCTGGTATGGACCAGGTATGTCAGATCCAAATCTCTCCAAAACGGGAAAGCATTTTCTCATACGATCCTCATCACAGGCAAAGCGGCCAACGCAGGCGGTGTCGCCGTTTCTGGTCTCGAAATGGCTCAGAACTCTCAACGCATAGCATGGACATCTGAGGAGGTCGACAACAAGTTGAAGAGCATAATGGAGTCGTGCTTCAAGAACGGTCTGGAAACGGCAAAGGAGTACGTCGAGCCAGCCGAGGGTGAGTTCCCGAGTCTGGTGGCTGGGAGCAATATCGCAGGCTTTTCAAAAGTCGCCGCTGCTATGCATGCACAGGGAGATTGGTGGTAGACTGAGGAAGAGCTGAAAACGAGGATGCAGGGGGAAAGGAGTTCGGATGAAGAGTAGCAACTTGGATATGGATGAAGAAACGTTTGTAGTTATAGCTACGTCTGGCGTGGGAGGAAACAGCTCAGTATGGACCTACTCAGACGCACACTTCCTGCCCACCATTTATGCCGCTAGGTGAGAATTAGGAATCACAAGTGTAGATATAGCTTACTCCATCTACACATTTTTCCCTCCGACAGTAAGATGATGCCAAGGTTCTTGTGGGTAGGAAGGATATACTCTATTGAATCTATGAAGCAGCTGCAGGCTATATAAGTAGCCCACCAAGCCAAGTACGCTATGCTACATATAGCTAGCCATTGCAAGAAGCACCTTCCAACTCCTTCTACTCGTGTCGCCTTAACTTCATTCAACCTAAGGCCTGGGATATGTTGTTTAAAGGCATTGCTAATGTTTGTATTGGAAATGGAGTCGCATTGTAGTCGCTTGCGTAATTTGTCTCGCTAGCTGTTTGGTGGATTACTCTCTTTTACCAACTCGTCCGCTGTCACAACCTCCCACTACTACAAGATTCCCTCTAGAGTGAGCTCCATCTGTAGTTTGAACTCGATCTCTTTTGAAAATGGTTCCCGGCCGAATGACACCCGTCATCATCGGCGTGGGCGATGTCAAAAACGGATCCCAAAACGTCGAGGACGCAATTGAGCCCATGCAGCTCATGCTCCAAGCGATCGTTCGTGCCCTCAAAGACGCCACGTCGGAACACCGTATCGCTGAAGAACTCAAATCAAGCATCGACAGCGTCTCCGTCGTCGCCACGTGGACCTGGCCGTATGCTGACTTACCAAGCCTTCTGTCGGAAAAGCTAGGAATTCAGCCACGGCACAAAATATATAGCGAGCACGGAGGCAATCAACCGATGAAGCTTGTCGATGAAGCGGCAAGGAGAATCTGGCGGGGCGAGTGCAAAGTTGCCGTCATGACTGGTGGCGAAGCTTTGGCCTCGCGTACGTAAGGGATTATAAGGCTATCAGGAGCTGAAGAGGGTGTTCATGCTGACACGTAAGGCAATCGGCAGTGAGTGCCAGTGCAGCCGCAAAAAGAATGCCACCGCCTGGCTGGACGACGCCAGAACCGGGTGCAGAAGCTGCGTCTCCCTTGAATCTCTCTCGTCTTCGGGAAAGTAAGTGTTCCCAGATCTATGCGGCCCGTGCATGTTGCTCATGCAAGCTGCGAATCAGGCATAGGAGCCACTCATTCAATCGGGCTCCCTATTCACGTTTACGCATTATACGAAAATGCGTTCAGGGCTCATCGCAAGCAGTCGATCAAGCAAAACAACAAAGAGTCCGCTCAATTATACGCAGAGTTTGCCAAAATTGCCGAGCAGAACGAATTCGCGTGGAACTACGGACAAAAGACCCCAACAGCGCAGATTATCTCTACTGTGACGGCAAAGAATCGAATGATTTGCTTTCCTTGTACACTCTACCTTTATCGTGACTCGTTTTTCATGCCAAGGTACTGATTCAAGCGTAGATCCATTACTGATGAATGCGTTCAACAATGTCAATTTAGCTGCAAGCTGTATTTTGACTTCAACCGAATATGCCAGACACCTTGGAATCCACGAGAGCAAATGGATCTTTCCTCTAGGTGGCGCCGGTACCCAAGACTCCGATAATTGTCGGTATTCTCTTCAATTCATGAATGTCGAAGGTATGGCTTATGAAAGTGGTCACATAGTCTGGGAGCGTCCAAATTTCCACTCAAGTCCCGCCATTTCACGATCACTAGATGCCTGTTTAGAAATTTCTGGCTTGGCTGAAAAGGAGGTAGATTTATATGACTTTTACTCGTATGTCTTTTCCATATATTCTGAAAACTAGTGACATGCCGGGTAACGCTCGAAACAGCTGTTTCCCCATCGTTCCCAAATTAGCATGCCACCATTTGGGCCTTCCATTCGACAAACCACCCAGGCCTATCACGCTTCTAGGCGGCCTTACTTCATTTGGGGGCGCCGGCAATAACTATTCCATGCATGTAAGTTCATCCTTGAAAATTTCCACCATCGAGTAGCGAGACACCCAGCCACTGACTTTTATCCTTCAGGCATTAACGGCAATGGTGCGAGATCTGCGTCGAGGGGATGGTCAGAACGGCTTGATTCTGGCAAATGGCGGAGTCCTGACCTACCAGTATGCGCTCTGTCTTTCCACCAGACCCAGACGCGATGGTTCTGCATACCCGGATAAGGATCCTCTCCCCAGTCACGTGACAGATACACCGGTTCCAACAGTCACTATTCAAGCTGAAGGAGAAGCAATGATCGAAGTGAGTCTTTCCTGCGCTTTGTTAAACCTTGCCAGAACACGCTGAGTTTCTTCGGCCAGACCTACACGGTGGAATTCAATCGAAACGGTACCCCTTCCAAAGGGTTCGTAGTGGGCCGGTTGACCCGCAGCAACCACCGCTTCGTTGCGAACACGGGCAACGCAAAGACTCTAGAGCAGCTCTCGAGCGGAAACAGCGAACCAGTTGGGAGAATAGGATGGGTCAAAAGGGGTGACAAAGGAAGGAATCTGTTTACGTTTGAACCGGATGCGAATCTGTAATGTCTGAGAGCTAGCGGCTTCCATCATCCCACTGGTCTGCACGTCAGCATGGCACCATGGAGACCCCGTGCATTCAATTCTTCTACTTGAGGGATTACTATTGGAAATTTATGAAGGATCGATTGATTAATTTTCTATGAGAGTGCTGAGTGGGCTACTTATACCCCTATTTGCCACCATGCGGGGTAGCTACAACACAGGTGCTGCAGCAAATCTCAACAGTTACTCCCTCCGCGGTCCCCTCGCGCCACTAATCCAAGGGCTCTGCATTTGAAGTCCGGTGGTATAAGTATCTCGGACGACGCGATTGTCGTTGATCAGTCGGGCGCCGCGCTCAGGTCGTCAGTTGAGCTCGAACGCCCCTTTACCAGCCTCGTTTCCATTGACGCACGTCCAGGCCAAGCCGTCAGTCATAGAATTCGAAACCCCTCAACGACTTCATGCGGCGAATGCGGACGGTGTCGCTCTCTGCAGCACCGGATATCGGGCTGTTCGATGCAGGCGGATAATCAGGACACCCTACGGCCGCAGGGTCTTGTCCAGCAGTAGCGCCGACGACCCCACGAAACAAGTACAACCGGATCCGACCATGCTGGACACTACCAGACCTAGATGTAGATGTTTTCATCTCGTGTGCAAGTCTTGCTCCAATGAGAAAGAAAAAAAATCGAGCAAAAACCGCAGTGTGCAAGTCGGGACGACCATGCTGGTAGATTCACGCTGGAACACAACATACCCGGGATAGAATTAATTCGCCATAGAATCAATGAGCGCCAGCTATCCATAAACAACCATACAATCACTGACAATCTCGATACCCACGTGTGACAACTTATGACTCGTCGCCGTAGTGGGCGGCTGAGGCGTCAGTGGGTCGCTCCTGTTCTAAGCCTTTGTCGATATTCCTTTTGATTATAGGAGACTACCCCTTTTGATGGTAGGAGACAGGTATCTGCTACGAGGCTACATAGTTAGACACCTGTTCCGCGCCCACAATTGGCTCTCCATTCGAGTTCGTCTCTTACGGAGCCATTGCGTACTCTCATCCCACCCACCCACCCATCCACGCCTGTATATAGCTAATATCTCACTCCAGGTCTATGCCGCATCCGCATAGGCATGGGAGTTTTCTCACACTGGGGTACGAGAAAAGGTGCCTGTTCGGCCCTCTATTCATCCTTGCGATTCCCGGCGTGAGACGGCCTAACCACTTATTTACATCCCATAGACCATATTTATACATGTGATATATTCTTCTCATGAACGAGACAACTACCACCTCCTTGTCCCGGTCCACCAACAATCCTCCGTCTCCCAAATCCCCAACCCCGACATCGCAACCCATCTCCTTCACCGAAAACACACAAAGATGGTAAAACCCAACCGAACCGAGACCCCACACCCTAACTAGCCTCGTCGCGATCCCCTCCCCTCCCCTCATACCCAACGAACCTCTCATTCCCCCGCCCAACATCCCGACCAGAACGGCCTAAGCGTATCATCCCACCACCGCGCGACGCACCCACGCACTCCGCCCTCATCCCATACACACAACCCACCCTCACCGAATCCCAATCCTATCCAATCTCACTCCGGCAGCGCCAAGCCCGAAACCCCCCCCCCAAGCATCTCAGGACCGCGCAAGCGACGACGACAGACCGATTGCCGAACGCGCCCACTCGCTTACTACATAGTACCGATCCCCAAGCGTCCCACGCCCCGGCGAAACAAGACTGGAACACCGCCGTTGTACAACTCTTTTCCATCCCATTCCATCCCATCCCATCCCATCCCATCCCATCCCATCCCGCAAACATCCGTCCCCATCCCCGCCCCTCGAGGCCCGGAAAAACCCACCCCGTCACGTACGTACCTTATGCACAGGTGCCTTACTTGGCGCGTGGCGGGTAGTGCAGCAGGCGGGCGGGCGGGCAGGGAGGGAGGGAGGGAGGTAGGGAGGTAGGGAGGTAGGGAGGTAGGAAGGAGTGGCGCTGATGGTGTAGGTGGGGGGTGGGATGGGATGGGCGGGCTGGAGGGAGGGAGGGAGGGAGGGGGGGGGTAATGGATGGATGGCACGGTTCGGGCTCTTGGGTGTGTAGATATGTTATCTCGTTTGAGCACGGAGAGTTCGTTTTGCATACACATATCATCATCCTCACCATCATCACCATCACCATCATCATCATCATCATCATCATCATCACCATCATCACCACCATCATCATCATCACCATCACCATCATCATCACCATCACCACCACCATCACCATCATCATCATCATCATCATCATCACCATCACCATCACCATCATCATCATCATCACCATCATCATCATCATCATCCTCATCATCACCATCATCATCCTCATCACTACCATCATCACCATCATCACCACCATCATCACCACCACCACCACCATCACCACCACCACCACCACCATCACCATCACCACCACCACCACCATCATCGATATTATCCACCAACCCATCCCACCAGAAACAAGGAACCCATATCATCCAGCAGATCTCCACATAAAGACGGCTCCATCACCACCGTCCACGCTCGGAGCGCGAGAATTTATGGAAGTGAGGATCGGGACGACTGCGGTGCGGGTTTGGTGGAGAGAGGTGGGCGAGAAGGATTTGTGCTGGTGGGGATGCGATGGCTGTTGGAGGGGGTTGAGGGAGGGATGGATATAATATAGGTAGAGGAAAGGGGGGAAGAAGGGAGGAGGGGAGGGAAAGATTGGGGTGGGGGGGGGGGGCAGGTATTTGGGACGGTAGGGGCGTGTGAGACATATCTGGGACAAGTGTCTAATGTAGTGAGTGAGAAAAGCGCCGTGTGTTGCTTCGCATATGTTAAAGTACATGAAAAGGCTGAGACAGCGTGATTACTCCGTCGCGGGCTTGTAGCCACTGGCCAGCGCCGACGCATGCATGTCCTTCCACCTCGCCGCCAATTTCGGCGCCATGGCCTTCAAAGCCTTGGCCCGCACGTCGTTATCGGTCGGGTCGTTATCCGGCTTGTCGTCGTTCGACCCGTCCGCGTTCGTTTCCCCCGTCCTCTCCTTCATCGTAAAGATGTGCGAGGCCGTGTTCGCCTTGGTTTGATAATCCAACCAAGTCGACATGTCGCCGACGGCCATGTCGAATCTGCCCGGGTTGCGGTTACCGGGTGGGTTGACAACGGCGTCCGTGGTCGGCGTGAACGCTATCTTCGTCGTCGCTCGTTTGCCGAAGAACTCTGCGTTGAGGTGGACGCCTTTGCCGTCGACCAGCCCGATGTTCTTGGTGGGGTCCGGAGGGTTGCCGGGGTCGAAGTCCCAGCGGATGCGGAACAGGTCGCCGGTCTCGAGCTGGATCTTTTGGCCTCTGAAAGTATCGTTGACGGGTTTGGTGACGTTGCCTTGCAGACCGGTCACGTAACGATTCTCCCACCCGATGACGGCAGGTTTCCCGACGGGTCCAGGTTTCCTACGGATCGTCAGATCAAGAACGGAGCAGAGTACGTGTGCGTGCATTCCGACTTACGATTTGGGAAATGTGGTGGTCACGAGGATAAGTTTGCTCGCGGATGCCACAACATCGGGTCCGCCAATAGCTTCAAGGGCTGCAATGAGAGGGTAGCGCGCGGGTAGGGATACCTCACCCGACGTCGGTTGGGAAGTGGACGGACCAGCTTTGGTACCCGAGGGTTTGGCTGCGTTCTGTGGTTTCGCAGTACCGCCGCCCATGGCACTCGATGCAACGGCACTCACGAGTGGTGCGGTCACCTGTGCGACGAAGCCAGGAGCTTTTGCGGCGGGGGCTTTTGGAGGCATGGTCAGATACAGTCCTGGTGGGAGATTCGCCTTTCTGACTTTGGGGAAATTCTTGAGTATTTCACGATAGGTACTTGTCGATAGCTTCGCGTTCTCATTCTTTCGAATTAACGCTGCTGCCAGGCCAAACCCATCTTAAATATCGTGGATGCGAATGTACTTTAGACTCTGCCTCGAGGCTCGGCTTACTCAGCTTACTCATGACAAGCGAGTAGTAGCGAGCGGAGCCAACGAAGTAACACAACAACATAACAAGGTAAATAATAATGTATACCTTATGAAAGTAATGCAACACTTCATTAGGCTTTCATGTATTCAATTAGCAGTTCCTGCATGATGTTTTTTCACGCGAAAATATGACGGGTGCATTTCGCCACAGCTGCAACTAGGAGTAGGATAGTCCATCGGAGATATACCGCCCTACACGTACTCATAGACCTGGACCGGACATGACGGTTTGAAAGCGTGCTTGCAAAGTCATGCGATTCCTTCCTTACCCCTGCCTTTTTCACCTCGGTAGGGTCCTCCGTCTTAAGGAAGTTGTGTGTGGCGAACAGCAAATTGGTATACTCGACTAGCGGAAGCTGTGCCTTGAGTGCGCAGCGGCTCTCCGTAGTCCCCAAGACTTGAATGTTTGAATGTCTGAATGCCGCTCGAAGTTTGTCCCATGTTGCCGTTGCAATGAATTGAATTTTTACGAGGCAGATCTGTTTGAAGAAGCAGGACAACAACATTCATTAAGCGTGGAAGCTCGGACGCCGGCAAGGTTCAGATTAGCGTGCCAAGGATGTCCTATCAGTCAATCTCTTGGCGTTTGGTCTGCGATTCTTTTCCCGCTGAAAACCTGCATCATGGATACACTGCTAATGGTCCCGCTATACATTCAGGAAGATGCGGCATCTGTGAGCTTGTTGCGAAGGCAAAATGCAAAAAGCAAAATGCCGCAATGTTGGCTCGAGGATGCTTTATCATACTCTAGCGGAACATGGCCGCACTTGATCTAACCCGGTAGCAGCCTAGTTTCCGCTTACCCGCTCTTTCCAGCTTTCCGAGACGTTGCCGAGAAGGCCTCGGAAAGGAAGACAGAGAAGTCATTCCATTCCCTCTTCATCATATCCTCATATCATCTGATCCTGCACCTGCTCCCCATCCTTTTCTTCTTCTCTATTTCCATGTGAATACGCCATCATGCAGCATGTTCAAGGTATAGATTAAGGACTAAATAAAAGTATTGCTAGCCTTCTTCAAGGGCTGGCCCCATGTCCTTCCGAGGCCCTTTGCTGGATTACCGCGGCTGATCACCTTACACCAGTCCACATGTGAGCTATTTTCATACTGCGGCTTCTTCTGTCTCCTTCAATCTCTTCATCCATTGTACAATCAGACATCATTTAGTCTCCGCTTCTTTCCGTTGTGGTCAAGAGTGATGATGGTGCCTTGCTACTCTCGCTAATGTCGAACGCATACATCGTTGATCGATCACTGTTCTACATCAGGAAAGTCGCTCCACTCTGGACTTTTAAGGACTCCTACATCATCCAATGTTCTAGTACAACAAGTCTGGTCTCAATCACAGCAGGATGAAGAAAATGGAGAAAGAAACTTTCTTAGTTCTAAGAAGAAGGGATCCATCCCGCCCTTGTGCTTCAGGCCGCTCGAGTTCCCCATTTCTCCCCGTCACTGGAGCATGCCTGCAATAATACGTGGACCACTAAGCACCCTGCAAAATGGTTAGCTACAGGTCTGCGGCATTCGCTGGCGTGAATGCTTACATGTGGTCGGCAGGATTATTTCAAATCTCCCCCAATCATTGTAGGTCCAAACTTTTAGAAACCATGGTGGACGATACTGGCGTCTAGTCAATCCACTGGGATCGCTGTCCTATGCAGCGGAAGTCGGTGGCCATGCAAAGAGTGACCATGCGCAGCTTCGTTGGCGATCGAGTAGATAAGACTTTCTTTAGAGTATCGTCTCCATGCTCCATGGCATCTACCCCGCTTCCATTGTTTTCCGAGAGCTGCCCTGCATCCCCACGTCTCTTTCCTGTCTGCACGCCTTCCGCGACATGCCGCAAGGCGTCCGTTCCGTCTTTCCTAAGATCTGGGCACGTCGTCCGATATGAAGGCACAGGTTCAATCACATTCTCATTTTCAATTTAAAAAGCCTTCGATTGCTTCGCCATTCCACCTCTCAAACTCGTGATAGATCCTCCTGGCATTCTTCCACCATGGCTACCAACCATACGACTACCCCTCCAGCGGATTACGGGCACAGATTGATACCCTCTCTGGTGGATGAATATGCTCGAACCGATCCAGACTACGTCTTTGCACTGGTTCCAAAGGCGGCAAGCTTCGCGGATGGCCTGGAGAAGATCACTATCAGTACCTTTGCTCGGGCAGTGAACGAGATTGCCTCGCGGATCGACTCGACTCTCGGGAAGAGTACTGATTTCGACACGATTGCCTACATTGGTCCCAGTCAGTCACCACGGCACCGAAAATGAACCACTCCAAAGCTGACCCCCAGTAGCGGATCTCAGGTACTTTGTCATTGCCATTGCTGCTTCCAAAGCGGGTTATAAGGTCGGTCTACGCGTCTAAATTCCAGAGACCTTACCATAAAACTAATACATACCCCAGACTTTACTACCCTCCCCACGCAATAGCATCGAGGGCATTCTATCTCTTCTCCAATCCACCAAATGCCAGACCTTGCTCAGCGCCCCCGATACCAAAGTCGACCACATCTTGGAAAAACATTCCATGCGACACATTGTCATTAGAACATTCAAGGAGTGGGTGGCTTCAGAGTCTGTTGCCCACTATCCATACGAGAAGACTTTCGAGGAGGCAGCTCATGACCCGTTCATCGTCATACATACATCGGGGAGTACTGGCTTACCGAAGCCTGTCACACTTTACCACGGAGGACTCGCAACTCCAGATGCGCATCACATGATGCCTCGGTTGGATGGTTACGATCCTGAGATCATTACTCCGCAAGGCCAAGGCCCTACACGCATTTTCACTAGCCTGCCCCCGTTTCATGTAAGTCATATTCTACATCTATCCACCTCACTGCAGACGTTGTCGTGTATTAATATCAAGTACAGGTGGCTGGGATACTGGGTTCACTTGTTCTTGCCTTGTATTACCACCAAACAATCGTTTGGCCGCCTGCTGGCCGACCAGTCAGTACAGATATGGTCGATGACCTTCTCGATAACGTGGAGGTAGACGGTTGCTTCCTTGCACCTTCTGTGTTGGAGGACTTGAGTCAGTCGGAGAGCTCTCTGGAGAAGTTGAGGAAAATCAAATTTGTGGAATATGGTGGAGGTCTGGTCCCCCGCATCCCTTTCATATTCGCCATGCTGACTAAGTATAAGGGCCTCTTGCCAGACGTGCTGGTGATATAGTCGCAAAGTATACCAATATCATCAACATATTGGGCTCTTCAGAAGCGGCACTCTCACCACTATATCACAAGGAGCCAGAAGACTGGATGTATTTCCACTTTAATCCTGAGATGAAAGGTGTCGAATTTCGAGAGGTCAGTGACGGGCTTTACGAACAGTTCTTTCTGCGTCATCCGTCCACGGATACCTATCACGCCACGTGGTACACTTTTCCGGACCAGTCAGAGTACTCGATGAAAGACCTCTTCTCTAAGCATCCGACGAAACCCAACTTATGGTTCTATGAGGGCAGATCAGACGATGTGATTGTGTTCTCCAATGGTGAAAAGTTCAATCCCAGCGCAATGGAAGCCACATTGCGTACGCACCCGGATGTCAGTCGTGTTGTTGTTGTTGGGCAGGCGAGGTTCGAGCCAGCCGCGTTGATTGAGCTCAAGGGATCACCGTCGGAAGAGGCGAAGAAGGATCTACTCGATAGCTTCACACCATACCTCATCAAGGTCAATGAGACCGCCCCAGCTTACGCGAAGCTTCAGCGAGATCACATCGCTTTTATCAAACCAGACAAGCCAATGATTATGGCGGACAAAGGTACTGTCAAGCGAGCCGCGACTACGAAAGCGTACGAGGAGGAGATCGATCAAATCTATGCGAATGCTGACGATGCTTCATTACCTACAATCAGTCTGGATGCTGAGGATCTAGATGCTCTAACAGAAGGGTTGCGAGAGCTTTTGGTGGGGACCATCGGACTGGAAGCCATTGCACCAGACCAGGACATCTTCGCCGTTGGAGCGGATTCCTTGCAAGTCATGAATCTCGTGCGACAGCTCCGGTCTTCTTTCACAGCTCAGCAGGGACATGGAGTGATCTCTCCTCATTTGATTACGCCAAAGATTGTATACTCCAATCCAACAGCAGCCAGACTAGCCAATGCTCTCCACCAACTGACGGGTCATAGCGCAGAAGTTTCCGAGAAATTGGAGGAAGAACGAATCAAAAAGATGGAAGAAATGCTTTCCAAGTACTCGGAAGACCTACCGAAAGCCTCTGCGAAAGACCTACCGGAAGCCTTTGCCAACGGTGTTGATATCAAAGAAGACAACGACAAGCTGACTGTTGTCCTCACGGGCAGTACCGGCTCCCTCGGCTCCTACCTTCTCGACGCTTTGCTGGCCTCTGACCAAGTGTCGAAAATCATCTGCCTCAACCGTGGAATCCACAGCGAAGACAAGCAGAAAAAATCGAATGCCTCTCGAGGCCTTGTTACTGAATGGGGAAGAGACAAGGTCCAATTCCTTACTACTGACCTCGGCAAACCTCGTCTCGGCTTGAACGACCACGACTATGATCTCCTCGTCAAAGAAGCCTCCTTCATAATCCGTAAGTCAACTACCGTCTCCCACTTTGCCGAATATCCTAGCTAATCCCCAACCCACTCAGACAACCAATGGCAGGTAGATTTCAACCTCAGCCTCGACTCGTTCGAGCCCCACATCGCCGGCGTCCGCGACTTCATCACCCTCTCAAGCGAATCGGCCAAGAAGCCCCCGATCCTATTCACATCCAGCGTCTCCACGCTCGGGAACTGGCACGCCAAACACCCGGGCGAGAAAGTGCCGGAAAAGGCGTTTCACGACTTCACTATCCCCTTGGCGATGGGTTACGGCGAGTCGAAATATATCGCCGAGTTGCTGCTCGAAGCCGGCGCGGAGAAGTGCGGGGTCCCCGCCGTCATCTGCCGGGTAGGGCAGCTGGCGGGTCCGGTGACGAAGAAGGGAGGGATGTGGAGTAAGCAGGAATGGCTCCCGAGTGTAAGTTTCCGCCCGTCCTTTGTCCTACGCATCATCAATGTGTCGCCCGAAGAAAAGCGTGGACGTTGTGATTATCAAAGTAACATCACCTCTACCACGAGCTGACATCACATTCCCAACGTCAAGATAATAGCAAGCTCGAAATACCTCAACCAAATCCCCACCGACATCCCAAGCCAGGACACCGTATCCTGGGTCCCCGTCGACATCACCGCCAACATCATCCTCGACCTCGTCCTCGCCAACGCCTCCCAACCACCACTACCATCATCAGCCGAGGCCCCCAAATCCCACCATTACAACATCGTAAACCCGCACCCCGGCTCCTGGTCCGCCCTCGTCCCCGCCGTAACCCGCTATTTCCAAGGCGGCAACGACGGCACAGCCAAAACCCCCGCGCCACCCATCACCCCCGTCCCCTTCACGGCCTGGCTCTCCGCCCTCCGCGCCTCCGCGGCCCTGGGCACCGAGGACGTGGCCCGGAACCCGGGCATCAAGCTGCTCGAGTTCTACGGCGGGATGAGCGAGGACGGGGCGGCGGAGGAGGTGATGCTGGAGACGGCGGAGACGGCGAGGAGCAGTGCGAGCATGCGGGCGTTGGGGCCGGTGGGGGAGGAGTGGATGGGGATTTGGTTGCGGCAGTGGGGGTTTTAGGTTGGTGTAGGGTTGATTGAATTGGGATGATGAAAATTGTTGTTTGAGCGATTGATTGATTGATTGATTGTTAGTTGTCCCATTCATGAAAAACACGCATCAATGCACGCATAGGGGCCCACATAGAGTGTAGATAGTGGTTGGGCCGTCTCACGCCGGGGATAGCAAGCCTAAATAGGCCTAAATAGAGGCCTGAACAGGCATATTTCTCGTACCCCAGCGCAAGAAAACTCCCATGCCTATGGCATAGACCTGGAGTGGAATGATAGCTAGCTATGTACAGGTGTGGGTGGGTGGGACAAAAAGTATGCAATGGCTCTGAAAGAGACGACATCGAATGAAGAGCCATTGACAGGTGCAAAACAGGTGGCTATATAGCTCGTACTGGACACCTGTCTCCTACCCCTTGCAGGGGTACCGACAGGGCCATGAAAACAGGGGCATGTCATGTGACCCACTAACCCCCAGTCTCACTGTGGCGACTATGCTGGGTAGATACAGTACTGTGCCCCAAGCAAGTCTCTACGAATTTAGTCTTACTTGACCGTCTTACTTGACCGCGATTCACAGAATTCAACTCTTGGATCATTTTGTGGGCCCGCGTGATCAGAACAGTGAGGTGGGATCCTACCTCACGGCGAGGATCCGTGAGAAGCTTGATAACGTGACGACCCAGCCTGCACTCCGCACGTCTAGGAGCAAAAGGAATAGAAAGCCAAATCGGGTGCTCGTGTCCCGTTACAACCACCGAGGTGTAGCGACGCCATTCACAAGCCCATACGTCACCGGTGGTAAAACCTGTCATCGTCGAGCCGATCCCAGAAGGGTGACGGGCGGACCATTTCGCCGTCCATGACGAACGGCATCCGGATATGAGGGCCCTTGGTCGCTCTTTCGGTCGCGGTGTTCATGATGAGTTCTTGCTGATGGGTCCAGAGAGGGTCTGCCGAGGACAGTTTGGAACGGAGCGCTTTGAGCTCGGCGCAGTGGACGTGGGCGACGCCGAGACGGGCCTCGTCGTCGCGGTCGGAGAGATCGAAGGTGAAGCGTTGCTGGTCTGCTCGCAAGGTGTCCAGGGAATATAGACGAGAGGCTGCTGGACTTTTGGAGCCGGCGATGAGATCGAGGGATCGGAGGCGGGGTGTGGGGACCGGATGGCCTCTGCGAACCCGAGAATTGTGGATCTCCTGCCATAGGTATTGCCAAATTCCTGGGACGCTGTCTTCTGTTGCCTTGGGAGAAGTAGGGTTGTCATGTTGGGGATTTTCGATCAAGATGTTGAGCTCCAGATGGGTAAGGAACCAAAATTCATCCGCGATGTATTTGAGCATTGTATATGGCCGTAGATGCCGTCAGCTTGACATTGGAGGCTATGACGACGTGGGATATCGGACTTACCCACTCTTGCCCGTTACATTGAATATCAAGACCGAGGCTACGCAGGTTGCGGCAATACTTTGTTATGCGTCCCATGTCCCCGAAGGATAAAACAAGTCTTTCACCCCCTCTGCCTACATTTTCGTCTTCATGCAGCCTCAGCTTGATCAATGTCTTCCCAGCGTTTTCCCACAAGCCTTCCTCGCTTATCCGGATACAGGAGGTGAATCCAGTCAAGTCCAGGACTTCAAGCTTTTTACATTCTTGCAAAACAATACCCAAAGGCTCACTGTTACCACCAGAGTCTCCGGCTCGCAACCGAAGTGATTTGAGCCCAGCAAAGTCCGGCATGAACGTTGGAAGGTAAGACACACTGTCCAAGGACAGTCTTTCCAACATTTGCCAAGCGATTGGGAGTTTGACGAGGCCGAAAATGGGGCCGTAAAGCTCAAGAGATCTAAGCAGAAGGATTTGGGGCTCCCCTTGCACCTCGTCTGGTGAAACGTGAGGAATGTTGAAAGCGGACGCGATCGTAAGGTCGCGCAAATTTGGAGCAGAGGAGAGTACCTTCTTAAGTTCTTTGAAAGCTTGATACTGTCCACTTGTAAGTGTTACGTCTAAAGAGAAAAGACAAGGTGAGGCGCATAGGCGTGGCAGAGTCTGGGCCGAATCCTGACTCCCGGGATGACGGGTATATAACAAGCATTGCGGATGGTGTGTTTGGAGGGTCTTTAGGAGCCAGGACAGTATAGGGTACTGGGCGTCCCAGATGAATGTCTTCAGCCCAGTCAATCTTGGTAAAGCTCGACCGAGCAGTTCAAGGTCCTCCTTGCTACCTTCCCCGGGTTGCAGTTTGGCGGATGGAGCCCAAAGGATACGTATCTCCCGAACTTTGGCGCTCAAACCGTCGTCAGTCAACAGCTGTTTGACAAGTCGTCTGTTGACATCTCGCCTGCTGCGATTGAACGTGAAATGAATGACACGGTAAATGAAGCTCCTTGAAAATTGGAACAATGATCTAGAGCTCAGCGCAACATTCAGCAGGGTTTTAGGGGAACTCTTGCTCAGCTGCAAGTAACATTAGAGCCTAGAGTATGTCATAATCCAAAGGTCGGATCTCCTCACCACTTCCAGAATCATCAGCTGGACATCTACGTCCAATGCCAGAAGAGCGTTTGCCATGGTCTGGATGTCAGTGTTGGCTGTTCTGGGAGACTCGAGGTGTGCAGACACAAGATTTGTTGCCCCGATGTTCGAGGATCTCAAAGTCTTGGCATCGGCCGTCTCGGCTGCCTCCGAACCAGCCGCCCTTGCCGCCGCCGAGTCAGCGAGACGAGCTCAGTGGTGGCACGCTTATCTCCATCCCCAAAAGCCATCTGCTTATGACCATCGGCAATGCCTTCCTGCTCGAAATGAGATCCTCACGCCCGCTTCCCGCAGTCCGGTGCGAGAGCTTCCGAACAATCAGATCAAAGGCTACAACATATGGCTCACGAAGCGCTTTCCAGTGCCTTTCCCGACGGCCATGCTTGCCTGCTTGCTTCTGCTGTTTGCCATCAAGGTTGGAGAAGCGCATGTCTAGCTCTTGGCTGGGTGCCGGTGTCAAGAGCTTGACTCTCTTGTTCCGCTCGGCTTCCTTGGCTTGCCGGACCTTTGCTCAGTTCTTGCATTGCTTGACTTGAGGCGCCATTTTGATGTGTGTGCGGCAGCCCGGAACTGAGCTTAGTTGCTGTAATCGAGACCTTGGCTTGGTGTTGCCGGCTCGGGCGGGTCGCCTGGATGCAGGTCTCGGAGAAGTGGTGGTGGATGCGAAGAAGGAAAGGAGAACTTGGCTTGGGGAGCAATGATATGCTATGGCTAGGCAATATATCCAGAAGCTGTCACTATCGGTGACGAATTTGTTCTGGAAGAAGTCATTGTTAGGAACGATAATGCCTGCGAAGGAATCCCTCGCAATGAGACATTCTGCCAGGTAACAGAACGCTGTGAGCACTTGAGACGTTATGGTAAGTTCTCCTCAATTTGCGCTTGCAATAAACATCCTTTCGGTGCTGGCCCATTGTTAAGGCGGAGAACAAGCTCGCTCATCTCGCTGGCAAGGTTCAAATATGTTTGATGGAAAGAATGGTGATGGATCTAGACGGTGGCAGTAGCACGCGCATCACATAAATTTTGAAAAATATTGTTACAGGCAAAAGCGATGTTGCCAAATGTGATTTGGTGTAGATGATCCTGAGTGAACTCCTAGAATCCAACCTTTGCAGACCTCAGCCGAATCAAAGGCGTGATGACGCACAATGTCTCGACAACAGCGGCATTCCTCCATCCTCACACCGCAAGGCCTGGAAGGCTGCATCTTGTTCCTCAAGAAAATCAAAGACGTCCACAATTACTATCTCGAGAAATATGACCTTGACTCTTCAGTGTTCTGGCATCCAGTACTAGTCCTCCAGACTGACGAAGCTACCAATGAAGCTACGATATGTATCGTCCGTGTCTCATTCGCCTCGCAGCAACAAATCTCGATGCTAACCTAGTCCTTGAGACAGCTGACTACACTCAACCATCGCAACGCAGAAGACTGCTTCCCTTCGTCAGACATCAAGCTCTACCTTGCCGTATGGCCGAAGCATCCGCCTTACTTCGGCCAGCCTCAACTGAACCTCCAAGGTGACGCCACACTTCGCAGGCCAGGTTACATCAGCATACGAAGAGAGTACCTCCTCCATCAAAGCATGCTGCAGCCTTACGATTGGGACCAGCTCCCAAACTACTACCGGCTTACTCAGAGAAGCTTTGCAGTCGTTGTCGCTAAACTCGATACTATTTCCTACCACACAAGAGTCAATAAGCTCAACGCTGAAGACTGCTCAAGGAGACTAGCCACATCCAGAGCAAAGGAGTCTGAGACCCCCACTTCTTTCGGCCAGATCAAGTTGCTTGTATCCGTGTTTCTACTGGCTGCTGCTATGATCTGGGCAAAGAGCAAGTCAGATCCAGCCTGTGGTGAATGGCTTGTCAGAAGATCCTTCGAGATATTAATGCAGGTGTGGATAGTGGCTCTCGGTGTATCTTGGGGAGTTGGGAAATTGATCACAATTGGTCTTGAGATGCTTGGGAACGCGGTCGGCGTCTGGGGTGAAGGGCTTTTAAGGAGTATTTGAACTGCGTTGGTGCAAAGGTCAATGGCGGCGTGGAAGAAGCCCCCGGCGGAGGGGATGTTAATCGAATGATATTACAGAGTACCCGGAAAAGCAGTCAAGGAGCTTGTGGATGGGGAGACTTGCCTGGTGGTCTTCTGGCTTGACGTCGCATGGAACCCAGGAGGGTTGAGTTTCGCTTCACGGTCTGGGTGGCGGGGAACGAATGGGAGAATCCGAGTCTCGGGCTGGAAACTTTTCAACTGCAAGATTAATCATTGCTCTAGACCTAGACAACCCGGAATCGACCCACGATAAGAAGAGTAACCTGCAACGATACATAACATCGGGCCAATTCAAAACCCTAGTTTCAGCAGCATTTGCATGTGACGCCACAACGACATTGAAGATCTTTACAGAACTCGTTGACGCTCACAAGGTTACGAGACTCGCATTTACAGAAACAAAGCAAGAAAAGTCCCCTGGCGTCTCCGATACAGTGGGGGAATCCTGAAGGTATCGAGGATGGCTTGCTCATCGAGGATATCAAGAGGAACAAGCAAGACCTTCGGGTTGTGGCAATTCTGGAGGGCCATGTTTTGCGCCGTCGTCAGTGCAGCAAGAAGGCTAGGATAGAAGAGAACTTGCCTGGAAGCCTTGCGCTTTAAGATTGGATTGGAACTAGACGTTTGGACTTTTGTGTATGCATGACTAGACAAATCTCATGAGAGAAAAGCAAAGCCTTAGCTCGCAAAACTTGAATCTCAAGCGTTCCTACTCGTGTGGGACACTATCGATGATTTCAAGCGATAGTAAGAACAACTTCAATGTTACATGGCGGGCCTACCCTATCGGAGCCCATGGTAAGCCACCTTTTCTGGATTCGAGTTCTAAGCTGTCATCCATTGCCCAAACGTTTCGATTCCTCCAAGATCGAGATAATTACGTACGCAAGAATGGTAGCGCCTTGCGAACCATCATTGCAATATAATGACCTCATCCACTGTTCATCAGCCATGTACAAGCCTTCTCTCAGACCTTGGCCGTCCACACCGTATAAATCTTATCTTTATCAGCATGTGTGCCATTCGATGCCTTGGAAATACTACTACAAACCATCACCGTTAACGCCATCAGAACGTTACATGTCGCTTTTGCTGGACCTGCTGGTCGATCGCATGGCCCTGGCTTTAGGCACAGACGTCCGAGTGGCAGGTAAATACGTGCGAATGAGAATTGGTCTGTCGCCGGCAGGTTGTTTGAGGAAAGATTTTAGTGTCACCGCAAATGCACTTGAATCTCCAGCTTCTACTCGTAGACAGTCGTATTTCTTTGCCCTGTTAGAGCGCCATCTTTGAGGGATATCTAGAAACAGCTGGCCCCTCAACAGCGCAACACTCTGCTGTTATCGTTGTTCGGCTGTTAGGCAGCGGAGGCTCGGGGGCTGAAAGGAATTGTTGATATTCCTTATCTTATCTTAGCGTCACCACTTTACGCGTACGCGCTAAAATGCGCGTTCACAAAACATATCATAACGCCCACTTCTCCCCCTTCCTTGCAGCACACCCAGGCCACCAAATTCGACCTGCATACTTGTCCATAATTCTCCGACGAGATGTTTGTCTACAAGCGTGGTAAGTATTTGACGTTCCTGACCTCAATACACTACACTCTGTTGCCACCAAAAGATGTCTTCCATTGGCTTCCCATATCGCTTGGATTCGAGGCGACATCTTCATGCAACGGAGAGACAGCGGTCAGACAATCAGTAGCTGACCCGTACTCTATTAGACAACCGCAAAGAGCGAGTGCAGTTCGACAAGATCACTGCACGCGTTTCCCGCCTGTGCTATGGCTTGGACGCAGAACACGTCGACGCTGCTGCCATCACACAGAAGGTTATTTCTGGTGTCTATCAAGGCGTCACCACTATCGAGTTGGACAACTTGGTAAGCCCGGCCAAACATACAGCATGGCATTGATCGCTAACCTTGCATATAGGCAGCAGAGACGGCTGCATACATGACCGTCACCCACCCTGACTATGCCATCCTCGCCGCTCGTATCGCTGTCTCGAACCTCCACAAACAAACAAAGAAACAATTCTCATCGGTCATCGATGACCTCTTCCATTATGTCAATCCTAAAAATGACAAGCCAGCACCCATGATTTCGGAGAAAACACACGATACGGTCATGAAGCATGCTGAGGAGCTGAACTCTGCCATCGTCTACGACCGCGATTTCAATTACCAATACTTCGGTTTCAAGACCTTGGAACGCTCATACTTGCTGCGCCTGAACGGCAAAGTCGCCGAGAGACCTCAGCAGATGATCATGCGTGTTGCTGTCGGCATCCACGATGACGATATTGAAAAGGTCATCGAGACCTACAATCTTATGTCCCAAAAGTACTTCACACACGCCTCTCCCACGCTCTTCAATGCTGGAACACCGAATCCACAGCTTGCATCATGTTTCTTGATCGACATAAAAGACGACAGTATCGAGGGCATCTACGACACATTGAAGACATGTGCATTGATCTCAAAGACTGCAGGAGGCATTGGCCTCAATATCCATCGTATTCGTGCAACTGGCTCTTACATTAGCGGTACCAATGGCTCCTCGAACGGTATCGTGCCCATGCTACGCGTGTTCAACAACACCGCTAGATACGTGGATCAAGGAGGCAACAAGCGTCCAGGTGCCTTTGCAATGTACCTTGAACCCTGGCACGCGGACGTCTTCGAGTTTTTGGATCTCCGGAAGAACCACGGAAAGGAGGAAGTTCGTGCTCGTGATCTGTTCTTCGCTCTCTGGATCCCAGACCTGTTCATGAAACGTGTCGAAGCGAACGGAGAATGGACCTTGATGTGTCCCAATGAAGCACCCGGGCTTGCTGATATCTACGGTGATGAGTTCGAGGCACTCTACGAGAGGTATACCATCGATTGAAGGCGCTGTACTGTTCCTGTCGCTGACTACTGTCTTGCAGATACGAGAGAGAAGGCCGTGGTCGTAAAACAATCAAAGCTCAGAAGCTGTGGTATTCCATTCTCGAGGCTCAGACTGAGACCGGGAATCCATTCATGCTGTACAAGGATGCGGCCAACCGCAAGAGCAATCAAAAGAACCTTGGTACCATCCGCAGCTCGAATTTATGTACAGAAATCATTGAGTACACGGCACCAGACGAGGTCGCAGTCTGCAACTTGGCTTCGCTTGCTCTACCTACCTTTGTGGATATCGCACGTGGCGAATACGACTTTGGCAAGCTACACGAGGTCACTCAGGTTGTCGTGAAGAATCTGAACCGAATTATCGAGGTCAACCACTACCCCGTACCAGAGGCCAGGAATAGCAACATGCGTCACCGACCTATTGGACTAGGCGTTCAAGGTCTCGCAGATGCTTTCCTGGCTCTCCGTCTACCATTCGACTCGGCCGAGGCCAAGCATTTGAACAAGCAGATCTTCGAGACCATCTACCATGCAGGTTTAACAGCATCCTGCGAGCTAGCAAAGGAACTTGGCCCTTACTCTTCCTACGAAGGGTCGCCTGTCTCTCAAGGCATTTTGCAGTATGACATGTGGAATGTCACCCCAACAGACCTGTGGGATTGGGACGGTCTCAAAGATCAGATTGCCAAGCATGGTGTACGAAACAGTTTGCTCGTAGCACCCATGCCAACAGCCAGTACCTCTCAAATCCTCGGAAACAATGAATGCTTCGAGCCATACACCTCGAACATCTACTCACGCCGTGTGTTGGCTGGTGAGTTCCAGGTCGTTAATCCATGGCTTCTCAAGGACTTGGTCGACATGGGACTCTGGTCCGACAACATGAAGAACCGAATCATCGCCGACGGTGGTTCCATCCAGAACATCCCCAACATCCCTGCAGATATCAAAGCCCTGTACAAGACAGTCTGGGAAATCTCACAGCGGAAGATCGTCGAGATGGCAGCTGATCGTGGTGCCTTTATCGATCAATCGCAATCCCTCAACATTCATCTCAAAGACCCAACCATGGGAAAGATCACAAGCATGCACTTCGCTGGCTGGAAGCTCGGCCTCAAGACTGGGATGTACTATCTTCGCACCATGGCCGCGTCTGCACCCATTCAGTTCACGGTTGACCAAGAGCAGCTCAAGGTTGTCGACACCAACGTGGCTCGTACCGGCGCTGTCAAGAAGCGAATCGGGCCTTCCGCTGGCTACAACTCCAACTCCCACTCCGCTGTGCCACGACCAATGTATTTGCGAAAGCCATCGGATGGGACTGCTACCATGTCTCCTAACGGCATGCCCACTCCCACAGCAACACCACCTCCAGCGTCAGAGAACAAGAAATTCTCCCCACCGTCCAAGGCGGAGTCTGCGGTGCTCCCTACTTTCAAGGCCGACATCGAAGAGGGTGACAGCCCCAAGTCGTTGGCTACGGATCCGGTTGATATGCCGACCAAGGAGGAATTGCCCGAGCATGCTGTGAACGACGTCAAGCAGGAGGAAGATACCGAAGGGAGCGAGGAGAGGGAGAAAGATATCTATGCTCAGAAGGTCTTGCAATGTAGGTTTCCCATCTGATCACCGCTTGTGAGCCAGAGACTGATAGTGTTACAGGCAGCATAGAGAACCGCGAAGAATGCATAATGTGCAGCGGATGAGGGGAGTGCGCTTCCCGGTCGAGTCCGTCATAGAACACATATCGCTCTCAGGGGGCATTTGTTTATTGCTTGCCGCATATTTGATCTTCTTTGTCTGGGATCCGGGGAGTCGCTTGGGTAGTAATGTCTTCCTGCTACGTGTATCATACTCTCCGGCTTGCTAGCATCAATGAACGAAGCCACAATCGCACAACCCCATCGATCCCCGAACTCCATTGTTGTATGAGAGCCGAGACAACGGCACTGGAAACGGTAGTATATGCTATGCGGCTCTTACTAAGATACCTTGACTATGAATAATCGACTCGTTGGTCCTGCGAGTCGCCCATCGCCCATCTCCCATCTCCCGTCAGCG